ACAAAACAAAAACAAATTATAGCCAGTCAAAAAAAAAAAAAAAAACTACAGCGCCCCAACCAAACATCCATTCAACCATTGAGATACGACGACGACGCCGTCGACAACAACGACAAATATCTCCCACACGTTTCGTGTTACGAACATCAAACAAACAGCTCCAATGTCTGTCTATGTGGTGGCACACACAACAGTAACGTGTCGGCAAAGGTAGCATTAACGCGCAATTGAGAATTGTAGGTCGCCGTTGTCGCTATTCGCTACCACTCTAGATTTTTTGCAATAATTTCTGTTTTTTTTTGTTCTTGTCTTTTTGCGGAAATACACACCAATATTTTTCGTTTTGCAAAAAGAAAATATTTTTTCTTTAAAAGAGGAGAAAAAATGTATGTGCTGGAAAAGGAATTTATTTAAAAATTCTTTAACAAATTATACACAAATTTGCAAACAAACAAAAATGTATGTACGTATGTATTCATGTTGTGTGTTTTTGTGTGTGAAAACCAATAAATTTCAGTAACGACCAAATGATTCATAATTATGCTGCCTTCTAGGCATTTAATGGCTGTTGCTATCTATCTATCCATCGTCTGTGTGTGTATGTTTGCTGTGGTTAAAGTTCCATTAATGAACGAACAAAAAAAGAAAACTTGCGATTTCTTTTGAAGAGGGGCACGTTTTTTGTTTGTGTGTCGGTTAAAACAAAAAAAAAAATATATATATATATATTAAAAGTGTTAAACGCAAATATACATTACCTACATTAACATTTATGAATTTTTGTTGTTGTGTTCTGATAGTGGTTAGAAACCGCTAAAGCGCCAATAGCTACAACAACAAAGTAAATACATGAATAAATGTATGTATGCGTATTACCACAGTGTATAACTATTTTTTTTACCTCTAGGGTCAGAATATATGTTCTATATTATTTCGACCGTAAGCAAAAAATATTATTTTTCCATAGTTAAAATTTTGAGAAATTATTCATATTTCGGTGAAAATCAAAATCCGAAGAGGTGTACACACGAAGTGCTCGAAAAAATATTCTATAAAAATCTACGCCTTCTGGGCAACTCGTAAAAATATTCTTTTGAAAAATCCACGCCTTCTGGACTTCTTTAAAAAAACCCTCTGTGGGTCCCTGAATAAGTATTCTTAAAAAAATTAAAATTCTCTGTGGGTACTAGAAAAATATTCTTTAAAAAATCCCCGCCTCTGTGGGTCCCTGAAAAGGTATTCTTTAAAAAATTCAAAATCCTCAGGGGGTCCCTGAAAAGGTATTCTTTAAAAAATTCAAAATCCTCAGTGGGTACTTGAAAAATATTCTTTAAAAAATCTACGCCTTCTGGGCAACTCGTAAAAATATTCTTTTGAAAAATCCACGCCTTCTGGACTTCTTTAAAAAAATATTATTTAAAAACCCTCTGTGTGTCCCTGAATAAGTATTCTTAAAAAAATCAAAATTTTCTGTGGGTACTAGAAAAATATTCTTTTAAAAAATCCCCGCCTCTGTGGGTCCCTGAAAAGGTATCTTTAAAAAATGCAAAATCCTACGGGGGTCCCTGAAAAGATATTCTTTAAAAATGCAAAATCCTCAGGGGGTCCCTGAAAAGATATTCTTTAAAAAATTCAAAATCCTCAGTGGGTACTTGAAAAATATTCTTTAAAAAATCCACGCCTCTCTGGTGGTCTTTTGAAAAATAATCTCTGAAAAATCCACGCCTCCGGTCCTTTGAAAAATATCTTCTAGAAAAGCCACGCCTCTGTTCGTCCTTTGAAAAATATTCTCTAAAAAATCCACGCCTCTCTAGGTCTTTTGAACAAAATATTTCAAAAATCCACGCATATCTTGACCATATGGAAATATATTTGAAAAATTCCTTTAAAAAATGTAAATCCACACCTCTGTTGCCCTTTGAAAATATATATATATATATATATATATAGTGATCCCAAATCCATGTTTCAGGATTCCAACTCTATCGGTTCAAATTGTACCAAATTTAGTACACAGTAGTACGAATTTATAAAACCTCCTTACCACAAACCTACGCCCCCATAGTGATCCTAAAGTTTCAGGATTCCAACTCTATCGGTTCACCCACTATTCAAATTGTACCAAATTTAGTACACAATAGTACCAATTTCCAAACCTTCATATAAAACCCAATCATACACCCCACACTGATCCTAAATCCAATTTTCAGGATTCCAACTCTATCGGTTCATCCAATATTCAAATTGTAACAAATTTAGTACACATTAGTACAATTTTTCTAAAACTTCCTACATAACCCAACCCTACACCCCCACAGTGATTCAAAATCTAAATTTCAGGGTTCCAATTCTATCAGTTCACTCACAATTCAAATTGTACCAATTTTAGTACACATTTGTACAATTTTCTAAAACTTCCTACATATCTCCATCTTACACCTCAACAATTAGCCTGACTCCAAATTTCATGATTCTAGCTCTACTGGTTCACCTAAAATTCAAATTGTACCAAATTTAGTACCCAGTATTAATTTCTTAAACTGAATCCTGACCCCAATCCTACTCCTATACAGTGTTCCTGACTCGAAATTTTATTGTTTCCGCTCTATCGGTTCACCGAAATCTACACTCTGACGATAATGTTAATTTCAAATTTCAGGATCCCAGCTCGATTTGTATCTCAAAATTAAATTTGTACCAAATATAGTAACATATAGTACTTTTCGTACACACGCTTTCAAAGCAATCTCCTTAGCCCTAATTCGCAACCCTAATTCGCTTTTCAAATTTCAAGTTTTTAGCTCTATTTATTCACAGGCTACGAAATTGTACCAAAATTAGTACATTGATGAATCGTTAAATCACAGTCAGTCAATCACTTTACTCTTTTATTAGTATGGATATCCACGAATATTTTACAAAATCTACGAATGTTGGTCCTTAAAAAATCCACGCCCCTGTTGGTCCTTTGAAGAAATATTCTTTAAAAAGTTCATGACTCTCTTTTGGTTCTGAAAAAATATTCCTTAACAAATCAACGCCTATGGATCCCTTGGAAAAATATTCTTTAGATCTCTCGTTGCTCCTTTTCGTTCCTTTTTGTTTTTACAAATAATCTCTTGTGTTTTCTTTTCTAATTTTACACCCGCTTAGAAAATCAACAACCATTAACTACTGCGACCTTAAAGTTTAATTCAACAAATCCAGAATTCCTGGAAATTTCAATTAAATCCAGTACATATTTTGTTGAGTTCATCCTCTCCCCCAAATAACATGCAAATGGCATCCTTGTTCTATACATACATATTTAAATATGTATGTTTAATTTATGTTTATATATGTATATGGGTGTTCGCACTTGCCGATTCTATTGTTGGGGGGCACAGACAGTTTACAACACTCTCAATCCATGCAAGCGCCCGCCACCAAGCACCACCCTATCATCTGCCCATCAATGTTGTGGATTTCTCTCCTTTTGGGTTCGTGTTGGATGTCGGTCGACTGTTAGAGCGCTCTCCGGCTCTCTCACTCTCAATTTATGTTATGTTCATTGAGAAACAAATATTTGGTCGGTCGGTGGTCGGTCGGTCTTGTGACGATGACAACGAAGAGTTATCATTCAGTACTATTACGACGGTGGCAAGTATAAACGGCACAAATTTACGACGACGGCATTAATTCAGTGGCACGCCCTTGTATTCTATTTGTTTGTTATAATTTATTTTTTTTTGACAAAGTGCAACAATAGCAGCAGTGACGGTGGCAGTTATAGTAGCGCTGGGTGCACGGACATATCTGCCCCAAGTAACTGAGTGTTGTGTTTGTTGTGTTTTGCCGAGAGTAAATATAAAGGGTGTGCTTGTGTGTGTGTGTGTGAGTGCGGGTGTGTGTTTGCTGTTGATAACTTGCAATTTATTGTGTTGCTTTTGAATGACAACAACAATAACAATGTAATAAATAAACAAATATATAATTTTTAATAATACAATAAAATAATAAGTTGACAACAAGATTTTTTTTTAATAATTTATTTTTAAGTGAAAAATTTTACCATAATTTGTGTGTATTCTGTTTTTTATTCTGAAAATTGTTTTTCTTTCTTTTTTCCTTCCCCTCTTCTTTAGATTTGCAAAATAAAAAAAAAAAGAAAATACCATTGAATAGTGCGCTGAATGTGTATAAGTAAAAATAAAGAAATAACAAGAAGAAAAAGAAAATAAAATAAATTGGTGTCAAGAAGAAGCATTTGTCTTCCAATAAGAAAACCAACAACAAAGCGATTTGCAGAACAAAAACAAAAAATATATATAATGAAAAAAATCATTTAAATCTCATCTCATAATGATGGGGATATGTGAAATATGCCAACATCAACAACAACTGCAACTACAACAAAGACAGCAACAAAAACAACAACGACAATGTCTTCTCTATATTCTGTGAAACAACAACAACATACTACATGTTCTTTTGATTGTGAAATAAACCGCGAAATCTCCAAGAGCATTAAATAAATCCCACTGGGAGTGAAGCAAGCGAGAGAGAGTGTGTGTTTGTGTGTAATTCATTGTTTTGTTTTGAGTGTAGGTTATTTGCTGTTCTGAGAGGGCAAAGCAACATAACCACCAGCAAGAACATCATTATTATCACATTAACAGAGAGAGAAAGAAGGAGAGAGAGAGCACCATTACTGTGTTTTTTGTATTTACTACTACGGCTCTCCCAATTAAAGCTCTCTGTTGTTATGCCTCCCAACTAACTCCCCCAAAACGGTAAACAACTACAACTGAGCAACAACAACTACAAGCATAACATAACATTTGGCGTGTCATATCGTGTTTTACCCAAACAACATCCATTGCAAAGTGTCGCCTGTTGTCTTTCTTGTTCTTTGTTGACAGAAAGAAGAAAAAAAAATACTCTCGTGTTCGTAGAACAAAAAACTAAATAAAATTACTCCATAAAACAAAGAAAGTGCAGCAATAACACAAACAAAAATTAATAATAAAAAAAACAGCAAAAAACCGCACAAATGAAAATGGTTGATAAGTCATCAAAATTAGATAAATATAGCGCCAATATGAATGCTTCTACATCAGCGGCGGCAGCTGCCGCTGCAGCTGTCGGTGGCGGCAGCAGTGGATCTGCGGTTGTTGGTCTCAGTAGCGGCGGTGGTCATAGTGGTTCGAATATATCCACCGGTTATTATTATCATACCATGCAGCAACAACAACAGCAACAGTATCAACAATTGCAACAACAGCAGCATCATACTAGCAGTAGTACTAGCAGCCATCAACATCATCAGAACGGTCAAAAACCAGTTCCAATGAAATTATTTGCCGCTTGGGAAGTGGATCGTACACCACCGAATTGTATACCAAGGTAAGTGGAACTCAAATAATTTAAATTCGGATATTGTGAATCACCGATAAAAAAGAAGTGAAAGGAGGGAACAAAAGAAAAGTGTGGTAGAAAATGTAGAGAGAATTAAAAATATCCCTTGTGGGCATTCAACCTCACATGTCGCAAAGGTCGATTTATAAGCGGGCGTATGAGTAATATTATATAAAGATTTCCGTACTCATACAACCCATGGTACGCTCGATACATATTCTTGATCAGAATAAAATCCAATGTCGATTTACCAGTACCGCACCATATTCCGTATTTTAAAGGTAGCTTTTTAATTTGAAGTGACTGTGACTGGCCTGATTTTCGATACAGCTCCCTCATAAAGATCCCCCCTCATTTTCGGAATTTTTAAGATTTTAGCCGCATTTTCTGTTGAAGTGGCGGTAATTTGGCATTCTGGATTCTCGGAGGATGGAATACTTATTTTCATGATTTGACTTATCCCACATATAAAATTTTCTAACCATTTCTGGTGTTATGAAGATTTTTGCTGCCACCAACATAGCTATAATTTGATATTCCGATTCCTTAGAGATCCTCATATAAAGGTCCTGCTCTATTCTGGGTATATGGAACAAACAAGTTTAATTTTGATATCGTGAATTACCGGTAAAAAGTGAAAGGAAGGAACAAAAGAAAAGTGTGCTAGAAAATGTGGAGAGAATTAAAAATATCCCTTGTGGACATTCAACCCCACATGTCCAAAGGTCGATTTATAAGCGGGCGTATGAGTACCGCACCATATTCGGTATTTTAAAGGTCGCTTTTTAATTTAAAGTGACTGTAAGTTGGTATTCCCGGAGGCTATGCAGAATATTATCAATATAGGTTAATGGTTTGAAGTATCTCTAATGTAAAATTTCCGGTCCATTTTCAATATTTTCAAGGCAATTTCCCACAAATATTCGGATTTGCTACATTTTCTTGTACTTAGTCATTCCAGCTCCATAGTTCCCATATGATGGCCTGATTTTCGATACAGCTCCCTCATTTTCGGAATTTTTAAGATTTTAGCTCATTTTCTATTGAAATGGCTGTAATTTGGCATTCTGCATTCTCGGAGGGTGGAATAACTTTTTTCATGATTTGACTTATCCCACATATAAAATAATTTGGTATTCCGGGTCCTTAGGGATCCTCATATAAAGGTCCTGCTCTATTCTCGGTATATTGAAGGTTGTAGCCTCATTTTCACCATTGAAGTGGGTGTAATTTGTCATTCCGGGATCTTGAAACCCCACGATGTTTTGTTAAGGATAACCTTCATCCTCAAAGTGTAAATATTTTATATGGTTTATAATCCGGCATGGTCATTGGACCTAACTTTTTTTGAAAATGAAGTTGGATTGGGGCTACGTATATGTTTTGAGCGGATTATGATCCGACGGGGCCATTAGGCCTTACTTTTTCGAAAATTAGATTAGATCGGACTAGGTTTTACACCAGCAATGAAATCATTGTTCTTTCGCGGAGTTGATTATATGTGTTCTTGAACAGGAGTTGATTATAATTACCCATCGATATCTTCTGGAAACCAGTTATAAATTGACGTATGAGTAATTTAATATGTACGTGTATTACGTAACTCATACAACACAGTGGACGCTCTATTTTTCTTCTGAATATAAATTATCTACCCTCCACCTTAAAGCTAACGAACATACTTATAATTTGATACGATCAAAAATGTGCCCCCATCGAAATGCCAGTATTAGATTTCAAGTATCTTTGGACCAAATTTGTTTCCGACAATTTGTAGTCGGTTTGAGGGCGCACTATGGTGGCGCGCGATTACTCTCGAAAGTAAGTAACCGAGTTGATACAAACTTAAATCAAATTTGAAGAAAGAGAATGTCAATGTCTACCAAAAATCTGTCATATCCAATGATGAATCCCATCGATCTACCCCTTATCCAAAAGTACGGTGCCCAAGATCACCTGGCTATGTCGGAGTCGTTGTATAGGTGGATGTTTTTATATTTGTGCTGATGTTGAGATTCCTTGAAGACAATCGGAATTTTAAATAAGTCTTAATAGAAGACATGAACTGTTTTATCGACTAACCATATTGCAAAGTTCTTAAAGCGTAGCCAAATATCTAACGTTATAACTCTGATTTTTATTCATAAACTATTCACAAAAAAATTAGAATAGCTCTGCTGAAACTTTTATAAAATACTCATAAAAACTACGCATAAACAATTCTTCAACAAATTCACACCTAAAATATTGCAGAAGAGCAGTTAAAAACAATTTTATAGACGAGCTGAAGGTCTTTAGCTCTGTTGGACCTTTTATTAAATATTAATAAATAAATCCTCATCGATAATTCGCATGAACCAGCTGGTCTTTAAACTCTCGGTTTGAGTTGGTCCTTTTGAAGAATATTCTCTAAAAATTGGTCCTTTGAAAAAATTGGTTGGTCCTTTAATGCATCTAAAATATTCTATAAAAATCGTAAATTATATCAGAACTTTTTATATTCTATTTAAAACTTTAACCATACATTACCTTAATACCATTAACTAAGCTGGCACTAAATGAATACGAATTTCTCAACAAATGTTGTGGCACAGAACCAACCAAGCCAAAACACACACAGACACGTATCCATTCAAATCCAATCCACCCAAACATTTTAAACATGAAACAAGTTTAGGTTTAGAAGAATAAAAAAAAAATAAATGATACAAAAAACAAAACACAAACGACACAGACGGATAAAAGCCGGATTATCTTTAAAGCCTGACAGATGCACACAAAGAGTACATTTGTATGTGTGTGTGTGAGTATGAATGTGTTCGGACCGTTTTAGGCCGTATTTAACACTACAAAGTGTTATTTAACTGTCTCCATTGTTTCGGTAATGTTTTTTGTGTGCGCTTATTCTCAAACAGAAACCGAAACTGACAGCCAAACAACAACAATAACTGCAACAACTGAGAGATGAATTCATAAATCTTTTCATGAATTAGATCATTTGCTGGTGATTGAAATGTCTGTTGTTGTAGCACATGTTGTTGTTGTTCTTGTTTCTTATGATTTTAATTAATTCGCAATAAATAAAAAAACAACAACAAATATGAAAACATGACACATACAAGTATGTGTCATATGGTATGTAATGTGTGTGTGTTTGTTTTTTGTTTGCGGTTGGTGTACGTCTGGTTAATATTGTCATTGAGACAGTTCTAAAAAAAGTACACGCGGAGAAAAAAACCGTAAAAAACTGAAAGTAAATATGTCTGTAAAATAGTACCCAATAACCGCAATATGACTTTAAAATTAAATATTTTTTTTCTTACAGAAAATATTATTTGAGATAAGGTCTAAGGGTGGGAGATAAGTGAGGTTCTGATGAGTGGAAGGGTAGATTTTATAAGAGAATTGAAGACAAGGGATTTTTTATATACTTGCTGAAGGGACTTGGATTCCTTATAGACTCCAGGTCAATGGCGAAAGCCTTATAAGCGGATTGACGATAAGTGAACATATACAGGGTGAGATGAAAAAACTGCAACCATCTTCAGACTGCTATTATTTCTAAGCCACTCATCCGAAAGCTTTTAAAATTTTTCCAGTGACAGCTCACTATATTGTTTACAAGCGTACAAAAGCATTTTGGTAAGAATTTTCCAGAAAAAAACTATTCGTGATGGAACTGAAAGAAAATAGACTGAAAAGAGCTAAAGAGCATGGCCGAAAGTGGTGAACTGCCGAATTTGGTTTTCTTCGTTGAGAAAACATTCGTTTGTAAACAAACAAAATCATCGTGTTTACTTGCCAAAGAGGTCAGCTGAAAATGTGAATCTTCGGTTGGCCACCAAAACTCAAGCGCCGGCCATGGTGATGGTGTGGGCCGCCATAACAGTCGATGGTAGCTCTTCGCTCGTATTACTCAGAATAAATTCTGAATATTATCGCAAAAATATTCTGGAGGGTGTATTAAAGCCTTGGACACGCAAATATTTTGGCCGCAGACCTTGGACGTTCCAACAGGACCATCATGAGTGCAATGGTGGATGCGCCACCCAATAATGGTAAAATGAGGTTCCTCGCTTCATTTCCAGTTCACAATGGCCACCAACATCTCCTGATACCAATCCGTTGGACTATTGTGTCTGGAGTATTTTGGAAAGCAAGGTTGACACTAAAAAATACCAAAGCGTCGATCATCTCAAGCAAGCGGTTCGCCGGGAATGGGCCAAAATACCGCAGTGCAACAATCGGGCAGAGTGTGATGGTTTCATTGGCGGTTTGAAGGCCATAATTCGCGCCAAAGGTGACCAATTCGAACAAATTTAAACTTATTCTAAAATTTGACGCTATTTCCGACATTTTTGCTTTCATCAAATAACATTTAAAAAAAGTGTAAAAATTATGGCGCTTGACTTTGTTGCAGTTTTTTATGTCACTCTGTATAGAGAAGTTTAAATTCAAGGGGCCGTTATAGAAGATCTGAAAGTCATGAAATTTGTTGTTATTGGATTTTGGTGCCTATAATTACTTTATTTGACATGTAAATTTAAATTTGGAGCATACCTTTTGAATATTCGACTACGAGAGCTTATGAAGCATTAAGTCGCAAGTTCTACTCATTTCATTTTACAAAGCCTCAAGGCAAAATTCTAATAATTCCAATACAAATCCATAACCGAATTAATATTTCATGAAATTAGTAATTGTACATTGGATGTGCAAATAGGGATCGTATGAGTACTGGCATAAACCATACACAATGGGCTACGAAAGTAAACATGTTTCATGGAATCTTTGGGTGCGTATGAGTAGCGACATCAATCATACGGAGGGAGGAGATGATTATATGTTATAGAAGATATGAAGGTCATGAACTTTTTATGGACGAGCTAAAGACCAAGGAATCTTTATAGACGTGGAATCTGATGGCCAGGAATTCTATATTGACGACTATAGCATAGAACCTTTATAGAATTTAAGACGAACTTAAG